GTTAATTGTGTTGTAAATTATAGAAAATAGTATATTTAAGCAAATTAGATAGACATTTACTTCTTATTAATAATTATTAATAATTTCTGCTACAATTTTTAGACTCTTCAAACCAAAGCAGTAGTAGTGGAACACTAAAAAAGGAAGGAAGAAGTAAAAATCGCCGAAAATGGGCAGGTTTGTTAAGTGGCGCAGTAAAAAGTAAAACTTTAAGTAGAAATGGTGACATAAGTGTGGAGGAATTCAACAAACGGCACTCTACTGTTCCACGACTTCCTATACCTTCAACTATTTCTAAAGACACTATGGTATATAGATTATTAGTAAATTTTAAATTTTTGCAATTATAAATAATCCTATTTATTTTATTATAATTTTAGTGCCAAATCTTAGAACATAAGTTAGAGGACACACAGTTATTTCATGAATTTGATAAAATAACTAAAGTTAAACCAAATGCAGAATTTTCTTCAGCTTTTGTACTAGAAAATTATTCAAGGAATAGGTATGTATTTTGTTTTTTTTTTTTTATGTTGATTAAATATTAATAAAAGTATTTATACAGGCATAAGGATATTCTGCCTTATGAAGAAAATCGTGTTCGTCTATCACCGAGTAAAGAAAATCGATATGGGTATATAAATGCATCTCATATTACTGTAAGTTAAATTAATTTGTGTTTTTTATATTAATTAACCTTTTAAATTCTAAATTTTGATATTATTAGGCATCAGTAGGAAATGAACAAAGATTTTATATAGCTACACAGACACCATTACCAAGTACAGTAAATCATTTTTGGCAAATGGTATGGGAGGCTGGAGTACATCTTGTCCTTGATTTGTCCTTACCCAAAATTAATACTATAGATGAAAATTATGGAAAATACTTCCCGACAGTTGCTGATCATTCTGTACAATTTGGAGAGGTATGTGTACTAATTGTTTCATTTTTAATAATTATTAATATTTGTTGTGATAACTAATAAAATTCATCAACTCTCATTTTAGTATCATGTGTGGCTACAATTTACGCAGGAGACTGGTCATTGTGTTACTAGTAAATTAAAACTTCAACACAACTCATCTAGACGATCAAGAAGTGTATGGCATTTACGATATGATCAATGGGTCGAGCAGGATTGTCCAACTGATGTTTCACATTTTCTTGGTCAGTGATAATTATTTATAAAATCGAGATTTTGAGATAAAACTCCATTCACAAAAACATTTCAAAAAGTTAGGTTAAATAGCCAATCTATGCTGTGTTCCTTTCATTGTTACTTTAAACAGCGTAGTATAAGAACTATTTGTTTTGTTATTTATGTAGATATATTTAATAATTATTATTAATCATTATTTCATCTAATGTACTGAATATAGAATATGACACAATATTATATTCTATGAAAATATTTATGCATAGTCTGTTTACTGTATCGATACTGCAATGACATAATTGTAAGTGTACATGTATAATATGTGCTTTGGTATGAAAGCATAATTTTACAAGTTGTATAATTTTTAATTTTTAATAGGGAATAGTTCAAAATATTACATTATATATTTTCAAAAAAATAAAATAACATAAACAGCTTAAAAATGTCCATACTTTATTGGTCAAAGTAGTAACAGATGTTATTGCAGTGCAGACTGGCTGTTAAATTGCTTGTCTCATCTCTGTGTTTTTACAAGTGAAAGTTGCACATTTTTGGATTCTTCAATCTAGCTTTTATCAATAGAATACATTTTTTTACCATAAATAAACGTTTGTTTTGTAAATAGGCTTTTTGGAAGAAATGAGTTCAGTACGTGAACACACTATCACAGAAATACCAACAGGACAAAATCGTAATCCACCGATTCTTGTCCATTGTAGTACGGGAGTGGGTAGAACTGGCCTTGCAGTATTAACTGATCTTCTACTTTATACACTAGATCACAATCAGGTATGTGTTAATTTTGTTGTGGAAATTAATGTACCTATGTATACAATTATGGAAATTACGTACAATTAATAAAGATAATTATTTTATTTTAAAAACTGTATTGACTATGTCAATAACCAAAAATTCAAATTATTATTTGTCCTGATTTATTGTTTGATTAGATATTTATTGATTAATGTGTTTTCTAGGAACTGGACATACCTAAAACCATATCACTGGCTCGACACCAACGCATGTTGTTTGTGGAAACAGTTGCTCAATACAAATTTATACACTCATTGCTCATTTACTATTTGAAAAATTCACGTCTCATTTAGTCAAAATTATGAATGCAGCTTATGTAATAATTGTTATGCTCAAAATACCACTAAAAAATACAGGGTCATCAAAATGTTAAATATATAATAAGTTTGTGTATTCGTATGTGTATATACTCAAATAAAAATAGAAAATTACATTCATTTAAGAACAAATCATTTTACAGTATTTTAAAATAATGCAATTAATATTAAAAACAAATAAAATCATCATTATTGTACTTATATTGATTTCAGTAACTTTTTTTTATATATAATGAATTTAGTTCATTAACAAGTATTTTATTCCTTTAACACTAGTAATGTTCTTTTGTTTTATTTTACAAAAATGTTTGTTACATTAACTTAGTATTAAATATTATTGTTTAATCGCTGTATACTAAGAATATTGTTCTTAATATTTTAAGTCAATGTCTTAAGGGAATAAATCAAGTATTAAATCCTTACAAATGTTAAGAAATTAGTTAATTTTAATTTAAAATTATTGTTTATAATTTAACTTGCACTATTTATATATATCTATGAATTAAGTATTATATATTATTTATTATTTTTGTATGTTGTTTAACAATAACACGTATTTATCGTGAAGTTGGTCATGATTATGTATGCGCCTAGTGATCAGTAATATTTATGAAGTAAAATCATTAATTTTATTTTTTAAGAACAAATTTTTTATATTTTATTACTATTACTATTTCGGTATTAATAATTTAATTATTGTTAAATTTTGATTTGTCAATACTATAAATTTGTTATAATTATTGAACTTTGTTAACAGAATAATATTTTATACAAATAAATCATGATTTTTGTAACACTACTCAACAATAACCAAAGTCTTAAGTAACTCGAAAATCTTCAAAACCTTGGAATCCAGTAATCAAGTCACTATCTGATACTATTATTGGTTTGAGTGCTGAATGTCAGTTTTCGGTTTTTCGTTTAATCATACTTGAAAATTAAATACTGCTAACTTCACCATACGCACAAAAATACCACCGGGGATACGCATAAAATTGAAGTATATTTATATGTACTACAAATCAAATTTGTCTAGAAAAATATTTTATCGTTATTGTATTTTGTCTGTAGGCAGATATTTGATTGAATTTTAGGGAGGGGGGCTTAAATATTTCTTTGCATTGTTGCAAAATAGGTAACTACTTATACTTTGAAAAATGTTCAAAAATTTTGGGGGCTAAGCACCCCCTAATTACCGCCTATTATTTTGTCAGGTACATATTATTTAGTATTTTCTATGAACTGTATTTCTCAGATCCATATTTACTATTTAGTCAGGAAAGTACCTATTTGGTCAAAATTTAATTTAGTTAGAAATGCATTTTTCCTAATGGAAACACATTTTATTGAAAACACATTTAATCTGGAAAATATTTTTCGGAAAACTGTTTTCATGAACTTTACTGTATTGCATTTTTTATAAAAATTTATCTGTTTTTAGAATTTTTAAATAGCAAGCATATCACTAAGAAAGGGTCCTTAAAAACCTCCTACTCCCAGTGAAGTGAATGTCAATGGCTCCAAAGTTTTACTCACTACTTTGATGTTAATATAATATAGTTGAGTATCATGCTTCATGTCGTGATAACATTAAAATATTGTGCAAACATCATAACAGAACTCTACAACGTACAAATTCTATTTCTGCATTTTGATGATCAATCAATGGTTTTACATCCAACAGCATTGATTATTAATAAATAATCAATGCCAAAAGTAATGTATTCATTCATAGCCAACAAAAATGACAATCGGCGTTAAGAGGACTTGAGGACATTATAAACAGACATTCAACAGCTGTCAACACTTATTACAATCAGTAAATTATTCCTCGTTTTAAGCAATTGTAATGATAATACTACTAAAATCGTTATACATAATACCATAGGCATAGTTAGGGAGGCTTAGCCTTTCCCCCCCAAATGCAGCAAAGCCCTCCAAGAGTTGGTACATGTCTGTCCTAAACAGACCAAGGGGGGTTGATAAAATTAAGCAGAGCAGATCATGCAAAAAAGAGACAAAGGAAGACATTAAAACAGTAAATTCACAACCATTTGCCAGCTTGGGTATTAATTTATTGTCTAATAACAGGTAAAACATCAATAACAAAAGCGTATTTAATCTACTAATGCTTTAATATTTTTGGGGGTTTGATGAATTCTTACATTGTAGTACTTGTCACGATAAAAGTAATTAGTAAATACACACCACACTATAAATAAGCTGCTTTGCACTATACACAGTTCTCAATATTTATACAGAAATTGCATCAAAAAATAATTAAGTACATTTCATCATTATTATTGTTGTTTGTATATAATATAGGTAAGAGGGACTTGTGTCTGATTTTAATACTTTAATAATTCAATTGTATATAATGGCAATATATTAATAGATATTAAGAGATCTACACATCAATACAATTTGGTATCTAGTATTTTTAATTGATTTAATGTTAAAGCTGCAGAACAATTTCCAAAAAAAAAAAAAAAAAAAAAAGGAAGGTTTTAATAATTTGTATAATATATAATACAAATGGTAGTAGATACATTTCAGTTTATTATTTTATTTTAATTCATAGATACTATGAAATGGCAGCTTCTTGTAACCTTTTTCAAATTTTGAACTAATAAAATAAGTTTTGAAAATATTTTTACAAAAACCACATATATTTATAATATGATAAAATTCATGAGGTTTAATAATTATTAAGCACTTAAATGTTTATGAATTTTAGTAACCATCGTTTTAACCCTTTTTAAATATTCATATGATATAATATGCATTCAGTTCATTGACAATGGATTATTTGTCTTCCTCGCTCGATCTTCTTGTTTGTTTAGACTTACTTGTTAGCGATTTGTAAATAGACATGGCCTATATTAAATTAAACAATAATTGGTTCTAATTAAAGTACACTTGAAAGTAATGTAATTCAATTAAGAAACTATAATTTACTTGTGTCACCATTGATGAAACATCTGAAGTATTGCTAGGGATAATAACTGTATTTGTAGATTTAGCTAGTTTTCCAAAAGCTTCTACATACGATTCAGCTACTTTGAGAGATGCAGCATTATAACCATCCTAAAATGGAATTAGATTTTAGAAATAGTTTATACAATTTACAGACAATAATGATTTACTGTCTGATGGTTATTAGAAAATATTATTTTCATTTTTTTGATCACAAATTAGCATTGAATACAAAGACTATACACTATTAGTAGTTTATTATTTACTAGTGTTTAAAATAAAATATTATACTTAACTGTTTGTTTAAGAGCATCAGCTATCAATTTTATTCCTTTGGCTTTGGCTTCAGCTACCGCTAATAAAGCATTGGCTTCTCCCTGTGCTCTATTAATTTGCTCTTGTTGATCAGCCTCTACAATTAATGTTTTTAAAAAAGACTGAATATATACTTAGATCAAACCGGTTTTAATCAGTTACCTGAAGCTAAAATTGTTGATTGTCTTTTTCCTTCAGCTACATTAATATCAGCTTCACGAATACCTTCAGAATCTAGAATAGCTGCACGTTTTTTCCTTTCAGCTTCTACTTGCATCTGCATAGCTTCTTGTACTCTATTAGGAAGTTTTATATCACCTAAATTAAATTAAATTAAAAATTATAAATTGCAAAAAAGAATACTTTATCCATAAAACACTTACGAATTTCATAACGGAAACATATTAGTCCCCATGATGCACTTGCTTTATTAAGGCTTTCAACAATTGCAAAATTTAAATTTTCTCGTTCTCGAAAAACTTTGTCTAAAGATATTTTTCCTAATTCTGATCTATCACATGAAAATATTAACTTTGATAAATATTTTAAAATAACAATAAAACAAATTTAAATAAAGACTAGTGGTTATAAATTATAATATATTTAAATGTGGTCAAATAATCAAGTGTTTTATTTTAATCATTTAATTAGTTCAATTTAAATTTATTACTTTTGTTACCTCATTGTGGTTTGAGCTAATTGAGTTATTGCAAACTCTGGATCTTCAACTCCATAACTTGCTAAGTAAGGATCATTGACTTTTAAATATAATACACCGTCGATATTGAGTGTTACGTTATCTAAAATATAAATTATAAAATAATTATTTTTAAATTAAAATTAACTATAAAATTAAAGTTTATTCGGACCTAAAGTTACAGCACTTTGTTTGGGAATATCAATGGCTAATTCCTTTAAACTTTGTACATAACCAACACGATCTAAGAAAGGTATCAAAAAGTTTAAGCCTGGTTCTAAAATTCGTCGAAATTTACCCATTCGTTCAACAATCCATGCCTATAACAAAGTATCATATTGTATTAAATATTACATAAAAATGTTAGAGAATAAAATGTAAAGAGTTTCTTCAGTATCAAAATAAATATAATCATAAAATATATTTAGTTAATAAAAATTAGGGTTGCTTTTCATTCCAGAAAATAAATTATCATTGGTTTCGGATTTTTTAAAATATTCTTGTGCACATATTTAAACATAATTACGTCAGTTTGGTATTTTATAATTGTTATATATATATATATTTAAACTATCTGTGTATATGTATATGCCAGGTAAGTCATATAAGAGATGTATTTGATATAAAAATAAAACAGAAGAATCTAGATTAAGTACTAGTAAATAATTAATTTTGATTCCCCATGAACATGATATTATTTTTATTTTCCTATTTTGCTTTAAATGTAGGTAACCATACTACATACGGATGAATAAAATAAAAATAATAATTGCATATTTATAGATGTTAAAAAAAATTAATGTAAAAATATATTGTCTAGCCTCTTGTTGTGGAACAAATAGAATTCCAGTGTTAAATGGTTTACTACTTTTAAACCTCGCCAATGCAATTGATGACAGGATAGATGGTTCTCTCGATAAAAGCCTTTGATGCTGTAAATAAAAAAAAAAAATCATCATTAAGTCGGTATTAAAAAGTAACGTCATTAATTAATGTTTATAAAAGCTAAATATTTAATGGTTAAACAACGGAGAATACTGTTTGAATGAACGTAGAAGTTTAAAAATATATCATAATGTACTGCCAAATTTTACCTTTGCAATAGCGGTGAATCGCATGGGATTGAGTTTACAAACAAACATTGTTTCGGGTTATTTGAAAAGACTGTAGTCAAGATAAATAAAGATCGTTGACTTGTGATCGAAATAATTAACCACGAGTAGCGTGTAAAATGAAACAAAATTATTTAATATTGCAATTTTTCAAAGTTATCTTTGTAGTTTTCGTTCTCCAAACAAAATACAAATTATTATTGATAAAAATAAATTAAAAACTTTGAAAAAGCCGCATTATCAGTGCAATGTAATGTTATCGGTTCGGTCAGTGTCAGAAAAAGCATGAAATCAAAACGTAACAATACAGTAAAGTTATGTAATGCTGCAAGACGAATTAAAAAAAATTTTTTGTATAAATATGAAATTTAATACCACAGAAACAACAGAACTATATACAACCCATTATAGATTTAGACGTATATTATTATGCCTAATAACATTATTTTAACGTTTATGAAAGTGTGGAAATGACTGAAAAGTGAAAAGCCCAATAATCAACCAGTGACCGTTATCAGTAAATCAAAAAAGTTTACGTATTTCTGCGGTATGTGACAATATAATGTGATATGGTTCACGGTGTTCCGTCAGTTGGCCACAGTGGAAAACGTGATAAACGATAGTTTTATCATCGGCGACGCGGTCTGCGGACAAAATATGTTGTAAACAAGAACATGTAATGCGAAAAATTATTCTTTTCGTTCTCGTTTCCCGTTTCCCCGCAGTTCTCTCATAAATTGTGACGAAATTCTGTTACGACGAAAACGACCGATTATTCGATAGCGTAAGTGTATTAGTATTTCTGTTTCTGTTAGTGGCGGTACTACCTACACCACAGCAATGCCGAAATACTATTGCGATTATTGCGACACGTACCTGACGCACGATTCGCCGTCGGTGAGGAAGACCCACTGCCAGGGCCGCAAGCACAAGGACAACGTCAAGTTCTATTATCAGAAGTGGATGGAGGAACAGGCGCAGAACCTGATCGATGCCACCACAGCCGCGTACAAAGCAGGCAAGATCGGCATGAAGGGAGTGTGCATACCTCCGCCAAACATGGGTCAAGCTGCGCCACAAATGCCCATGCCTCCGGGTTCGATCATGCCACCCGGACAGATGCCCATGGGCGCACCGCCAATGATGTCCATGCCTCCGATGATGCGACCACCTATGGGACAGATGCAGATGGGGGCGCCGCCGCCAATGATGCCCCCGATGCCACCAAATATGAGACCGCCTATGATGGCCAATCCACCACCCAATGTCCAAGCTCAACAATAAAATAAGTAAGCGTTTGTTCATTCTCGACACAGCTGACACTAAATCCTATAAATTTTAATTCAAACTGTTCTCATTTTTATGTCATGAATATAATATATTGTTGTGCACACTTAGTGTAAATAATACAAGTGTTATTTGTTGTTTTATTTAACAATTATTTCCAATCCATTGAATCAATTTTTTCAATGTGTTTAGTTTTTCCTTGTCAATCATTATAATTTTAAACTTATGTTAAATGTCTAAATATTGTTTAATAGACAAGGTTACCACTGGCTTGGAATATTTTGCGCTTCAAAACAAATATATATTACTATGAGTAAAATATGCAACAATTTTAAGTTACTGTAGAAAAATACTTTTATGATGTGCATTAGTGTTTATTTTAGGCTATTTGACTGAGAAAGTATTATACTCCCTCCTCTTCCAAAAAAAATATTGATAATTATTTTCTAGAATTGTCTGACACAGACAATTAAATTATTCACCAATGTTTTTTCAATAAAAAACATATTTAACATACTATACTTAACTAAATATTATGGAATACTTACCATTAAAAAAATTTCTGAGCTTACCAATATAAATATTAAAGTATGTGACAAAATCAGATTTAAAATATTAATTTTTATATAAAATTAAGAAAATTTCTGGTAAAGTTTTAATTTGATTATTTGTTAATCATTTAAATGATTAGTTAAAATTTATACATGAATTTTTTTTTTATTTTTATCAAATATAAATAAATAACAGAAATAATTTAATTGAGAAAGAATTTAGTTTTAGTGTCACATTACAGATTTATTAAGTAGATCTGTAGACCGGGTCTGTTAAAAATGTTTTTGTCGGTAGCAATTATTTTGCAGGAGGATAATTCATTGATTAGTAGGTCTCTATTAACAATTTAAATTATTGACAATGAAAAATTTATTTTATTTCAGGTACACACAATTGTTGGTTCACATTCACAAGACGGTCATTAAAAGTTAAATTATGTGTATTCCACCATTATCTACATATTAAAATGTTCATAAGTATTCAATATTGATTAATAAGTAAAATATGTACTACTAATATCTAATTTATATAATATTTAGTATAGATTATGGACTATAAATAGACATCTTCAACTTGGACGGTTTTGGTTTGATTATATTCTATTTATATGACTGATTAAAATATTGTATTTTGATGTAACAGTTATATTACTTTTTTTTATAATATTTTGTAATTATTTAAAATTATATGTGATTGAAAGACTAGAACATTCGTTTTTAATAATTTATTATTAAAAAAAAAAAGTTAATTATGCTTCATTATAGTTTCTCCTCACTATCTTGATTTAACTATCTTAAGAATTAACAAAAAGTATTTATTTAACTGGTCATAGAAAATTTAAAATTAAATAAATCCTAATTTTTTACCAAGAAATATTATTTAAATACTTTTAAACAATAAATTATGAAAAGTTAGAATAATGAGACATGAATTGTTATTAAAAAAAAATAAAACAAAGCATTAAAATAATATATTTCACTGTAGTATAGGTATAAATTTCTTGTAATATTGAATATTCAATAGTCATGATCAAATAAAAATTAAATAATTTGATGATTATTATTCTGAGTATAAATATCAAACACAATTAACTACTGTAATTTAAAATATTTGTTTTATACTTTTGTCTTTTTTAAGTTTAATTAGTATAGTGATATAGATATTTATGATAAATATCATCTAATTCTATAAAAATATACATTAAATTTAATTTTAAAACAATTAATTTCACATTAATATAAAAGATATTATACATAATGCTTGGGTAATTAATTTTATATTTATATATATATATATATTTGTTGTATAAATTAAATCATGTCTATGGGTATAATAAATAACGATTATTAGTTTTTGAGAAGAGGTTAATTTATTGTATATATAAGATTATTATTGTACACATACAACTAGACATTTATCATTTGTTAGTTTAGCATAATTTTTATTATAGCATAATTTAATCCCTAATTACGACTAATATATATATAGGTATTAGTATATCTCAGTACTTACTCAGTTGATAGTAAATCTACATTATAACTGATGTATTAAAAATATTTTATCTAATATTTTTATGTTAAAAATAGATGAAATAAAGATTTAAAAAATAGGATTTTAATTTTTTTTTACAGTAGGCACTAGGGCCAAAAATCGCATGTGGGAGGGGGCCGTGTCTATGTATGAGGTTTATACAGGTCTCCACAGTCTTGCAGCAATATAAGAAATTTTTGTTACTGTTCACAAATTTTTTATATTATATTATTTTAATCGTCTTAATCTAAACTAACCTAACATAGCCTACACAAATGTAAGTCTTTACATACAGAAAAATTAATGTACAGTTGTTCCTCAGTTTGTTAATGCCTAATAAAGGTATTGACTGTCTCTTACCTACTAAACAATTATTATGTCAGCTATAAATTTAGTATTTATAAATTATATTTCAGATTTAAAATGTTCAATGTGTATTAAATATTTAAATACTATAATATATCTGTATAAGTATTAGCAACCAGGTATTAAAACAATTAAAAATCAATTTTTTAAAATTATCATATATTTGCAAACAAATAACAAATAGTAACCATTTTGAATTATCAAAAGTCTGCAGCAAGTAATTAAAATATTTTTGTTTCATTTCGTTTGAATTATTCTCTGATTAAATTACTATAAATATATATATATAAAAAAAAAAAAAAAACATTAAACTGCATAAGTACAATGAATCCACATTTCTTAGGTATATTAATAATATGTACCATAAAATATACACAAATAACCTCGTGAGCAACCTTGTACATTTGATCACGAATTAACACTAGGTCGCTATATAAAATGAAAAAAAATTTAAGTACATAATATAAATTTAAAACTACATTTTTTTTACTAAATACCCGAGTCAATTATAATAGTTTATATTTAGGAAATCAATTTTATAACGTATGTAAATATAATTACACGTTGTTGTATTGTTGGGTATTTTACGTAGACGGTAGAATATAATATAGGTCTGACGTTTATTAATTCTAAAATAATTTTAATTACATTGTAAAATAATGAGAGAGTGGATACATAGTAAACGTTTTCTCAGCGACGTTTGTAAATTCGAAAATATTTTTGTTTGTTTATATATAAAAAAAAAAAAAATCTAAATAAATAAATAATATTACCAACATTAATAATAAAAATTGAGTTTATCAAATCGCCTCGTTTCTTGTCACTCTCGAGCTCGTAGATTTGTAAAGACTAGAAGACGCTTACGATTACAATGAGTAGGTATAGGTACATTATTTGTACGCAATACTTCATAAACTAGGTACTTACTTATATTACAATAACATACAATGTCTGGATAAAATAAAATTAGAAACAGTTTTTTACATACACATCATATAGGAAGATTAAAATATAACACTTCATTATTATTTTACGTGTTCTATTTAATTTGTGTTCATTCTCACACGACGCAGCAGTTCGGCGACCGTCGGCAAACGAAAAACGAAAAACAAACTCGAAACTTCGGCACTGCAGGTCAATGACGACGGTATCATATGGGTGTAACGCACGCACGTATAGTGGTACAGACGGCGCGCGTGTCTCAAAGGCGACTTCCTGTGTGTCGGGGGCCGCAAAAGGTCCACGCTAACAGCAGCAGCAGCACGCGGGCAGTACTGCAGGCGTCGTCGGGGGGCAACTGACGCGTAGAGCATCCTTGTCGCCGAAGACCGGTCAAAGGGACGTTTCCAGAGCGGAACAAGTGGGCACGGCGGTGGCGGCCTGCAGACCTGAGCGTGGGCGACGAGCGCCGCGGACCTGAACGACCGGGGGTCCAGACAGCGTCGCGTCTTCGCGGCAGTCTTCCTGTATGGTCGAAGCGAGCACGTTGACCCCGAACGATGAACCGGACGGCGTTCGCGAGTGTCCGGCCGCCGCCGTCGGGCGTCGCGGTCGGCACCGGCGTGTGCGGTCCGCGGCGGCGGCGGCGGCTGCGTAGCGACACGGCGGACTGCTGCGCGCCTGCCGCCCGCCATGTTGGTCTGCAGCAGAGCCGCTTGAAGTCGTACGGGCGGCCGACCGGTCGCGTCGCCGCGCGGCCGGTACCGGTCCGACTGTCGTTCCGGCGGACGCCGCACCGCCGCGGCAACGGTGGCGGCCTGCTGCGGTCGCGTCCGGTGTTCCGGTGCAGTCGTCTGCGCGGCCCCCGCAGCCGTGACTGTCGCCGCCGCCGCCGGTTGTTGGCCGAGCAACCGTTTCTTCGACTCGTGAATGGCCGCGTACAGGTCCATGGCCGACCGCCCGGAAGCCGGACGCACGTACGGCTGCTGTGTCGGCGTCCGGTGTCCGGCGCCGCCGTCCCGGAGTGGAGACTGCAGTAGCGGCGTGGGCGTCGTCCGGTGTTGCAGCTGCTGCTGATGAGGTTCGCGCGTTTGCGGCGGTCGTCCGGTCGGGCTCGCCCGGTAGTCGCGTATCGGCGATATGTTGTTGCTGCTCATGTCGATCCGGCCGGCGCTCCGGTCGTCCTTCACCGGTGTGGAAGCCGACACGTTCCGTTCGTGGCCACTGTTGTCGCCGTTCGCCGATGACGTCGAGGCGGACGGAGTGCCGCGGCTCGCATCTAAAACGTGCACACGGAAAATCGGATGTTACTCTCGCGCCAAGTTTATCGTTTACCTAACCCACCGCGGGTGTGCAGTGAGAGACGTGGCGAAGCACGGTGTGTTGGGTGTTTCTGTAGTGCGGTCATAATATTATGGGCTGGGACATCGATGGCCGATTTTCACGTCACGAGTTGTCGCGCGGTGTGGTGTGCAGTTAGTAGTGGCAGAGGGGAAGGAGATAGTTGCGGTGTGTTCAGGATCGTGTGGGTAATTTGTTGTGCACAATAATATGTTGCAGGTACGTTATAATACGGGACTACGTAGAATCGTAGGTAATATTGTCAATAATTTACGTCCAAAATCCGTACGGATTCGAGAACTACTGGGTAAACGTTATTATTTTTTACATCCGAGGAACTCTCATTGTTGTTAATTATTAGGCATAGAGAAAGTCTTATTTGCAATCTATACGAGATGCGTGTAATGAATACATCTGACGAGGATAAAACTACAATAGATGGAACAACAGTAATTGCATATTGTTATGGGCGGGCGTCTCGTCGTTATTTTCTTCTAAGCGCCGGCGGTAGATTGTTAGAAATGGCGGTTGATGAAATTATGTATGTAAGATGTAAGAAGATTTTGATTGGAATTGAGTTTAAAATGACATTTTTTTTTTTAGGGGTCGGGTTGTTAATTCATATTATTGGTCATATAGGGCTCCAATTATTATTCCAAGACATACTCGTATTATATACGGCGGGAAATCCCAAATTTGAATACTACATAATATGTTCGACTGAATGGGAATTATGATTGTTCTATGTATTATATTTTTTAATTAGTTTTTTAATTTATTGAACAGGACAGTTTAACAAAATTAATAAAAAAAAAGAAAAGATGTAAAAATATTTTAGATTGTTTTATTTGAGTTTTTGGTATGTTAGGGTTTTAAATGTCTACTCTCCAGGTTGAAGGATTTCATATCTACTAAGGGTGACATTTATTTGAATCGATTTACTTTCATTTACCTAAGTTTTCCAATAATTATTAGACTAATTTGAGTATTGTTTAGTTGATATTGTATGTCACGGGTTGCTCTATTTAGACTATTGGTTTAATGGAAGCATAGTGGTCTCATTTTTGTAAGTCTCTAAGTTGTAAGACTTACTTTGGTCTATGGGGCTACTTCGGTGTAAATATTATAGAGGATTGGTGACAAGTCGCATTATTGGAGTAGGTACTCAAAAATTGATCTAATAGTTTGAAAGAATAAGAACTATTATGTATTTATGTTTCATAGTGAAAAATCGACCTTCAAGATAGAACTTTAAAATTAGACAATATAGAGCGGATAGAAATGTGCTTTTAATTGAAAATCAGTTAATCGTGTTAGATACTACTAAACGCTAATGCGGCATCAAGTAACATACCGGGAAAAAGTTCTTTTTTTCAATAAAAATTAATTCTATTGACTCAGTATTTATTTATTTTTTTTTTTGATCATTGGAATAATTTTTAAAAGAGTTTTTCTTTAGTGTCTGTAATAAGGTTATTAAACGGTAAGATGTTACTCATAACTCGTAAGTACTTTGGTTTATCTGGTTTTGAGATTAAAATTGTGGTTGGAATTTCCATATTGGAAAAAAGTAGAATAGGTAACTTATGTACGAGTAATAAACGACACTGTCACACATTGTACTTATATCGAGTTTTGTTGTATCTTATATTTCGTTTTTGGTTTATGTCTTAACAATACGCAGATGATTCATGTTTAAAATGCAGTAAATACAATTTTATACGCTGAGTGATTAGGAAAAAACCACTTTTTCACGGTTTACCATACTCGGTACAAGAGTGTATACTTAATATTTTATTATTGCCTATAATAATATGACGTTCGGTGCGGGTGATTCGTTCAGTTTTTAGTGCGGGCTTTAGGACATTTTATAATGCATATTACTTTATACACCTACGCGGGCATTCAACGGGAAACACGGGTACGAGTATACCGGTTAGTTGCATGCGTAGAGAATAGTGCAGAAGGCTAAATTAGAAAGTATAGGAGTTTGCGCACAACTATATGTATCGTTCAAACAAAACGTTGAACAAGTCGATATTAATAAGATGATATAAAAAAACCTTTTTGGATAGGTACCTAATAATATTTTCTTATGGGACTTGGTCGATTTTCTTTATCCGGTAATTAATTTTAATAAAATCATTTACATGTTGGAACGTGGATTTTCTCTGAATTTATATGCCATCAATATCCCAGGATTTTAATATAGGTATCTAAAAAGTTTGTAAATCCTTGAATTTAGTTATGAGCATCACAATATCAAAATGTGACAATAAACAATGAATTATTCTAGGTAGTTCTTACATTTAAATATTAAATCAATTTTTATTTAAATTAAACTATCCTAAGGTTGAATATTCTTTAATACGTTATCATGATTAAAATTTAAAATGCAATTAAATTGTTATCATTTTTTCTGTTTTTCATATACTTAAATTGAATAAATTTCAAACTTTTTAAATACCATATGATATAATACAATTTGTGTTCAGTTACTAATGTTACTATACGTAAAATTATACTACTGAGTAGTAATTGGTACGTGATTTGTCTTACCTTATTTCGTTAATCTAGTTTGTTAATAATCTTCAAATACCATTAAGCTACCTGTGTAAGAGTCCAAAATTTTGGTGACCAACAAAAAAAAATTGACTAGTTTATGTATAAACCCAAGCGATTTGTGATGAGTATTTAAGCTTAATTAAACGTGTGAACAATACTTATACCTGTGTGATTACTGATTTGTGTGAATATGGATTAATAAAATGTACAATACACCATAGTTGTGAAAGACTCACATAAAGTATAAAATCAAGTTATCTAAACAATGTTTGACAATAAACAAATAAATAAAAATCGTTACTCAAATAACACAAATAAAATCCGTTTAATTAGTATAAAAAGTGCATGCAAATCTAATATAATATATTTACAATAATTATTCTATACAGTCTACTCACAATCATTATTGCACTATTTGCACTCGAGGTATCATATAGCATATTAAATTATATAAAAAAGTACTAAATAATAAATTCTACATACGCAAACTTAGTCTAATACTCGCATAAATACAAAAACAATATTTTATACTCAAAATCGTTCTCTATTGGCGGTTTAAAAATACTCGTGTATCAAACAAATTATTATGTCGAAAGCTAGCAATAAAATTTGAGGTTAAATCGGTTAACGACAAATACCTTATTAATGTAGGTACCTTCTTATATCATATTTAAATTGTCCTTAGCAAAACGAATTTGAATTAATTAGGCGTATCTATGCTTGTAGTTTGAATTATTGGAAGGTTATATATTTTCTATACATTTATCAATTCTTATTTTATATAGAATATAGGTATTAATATAATAGAGTACACCTACCTATGCAAGTTGTTATTTTGAGAATACGGTTTCTTATTTTTTTTTTTTTTTTTGAAAAGCATGGACTTTAAAATTTAAACGATTTTACAAAGAAAAGCCTCAATACTTGCACCCAAAATTTATCTTTTAGTATATCGACACTCCAGATTTTAGAATATACTAAAATATATAATATATAGTATTATATGTATATATATATTAGTATATTCTAAAATAAATGGTATCGGAAATCAAATATGTAATATAGTTGTATAGTTTAAATAATGAGTAGGAATATTGAAGTCATTTAACTCATTTACAAATTGAAAAAGGTTTTAAGAAATAGTAAATAAATAGCATTTTGCTAAAATGTATAAAATATTATATTAGGTGGGTACCTACCTACACGGTTAATCTTATGTATTTACAATTTTTACATGAGTAATAAATATATCATTTCCACTATATAGAGATTGTTGCAGTATATATAACTGATATTTATCTGTCTGTGCATAATTTAATGTCGTACCGTAAATTATTTTAATATAAAACAATGAGTATAATATGATATGTAATATGTAGTATACATTTAGTAATAGCACCGTTATTTTGTTCAATTCAGTCGGGTAAATATGGTAAAATTAAATGTTAATTGTTTGATTTAGGAAATAAACGTGAATTGCTCTATACAAAGGTGCTTAACTATTGTTTTTCTAAAATTCATTCAGAGAAAAAATGTATAGCGTCTTATACTCAATATGAAAATATCATGTTATATTTAAAAAAAAAATAATTAATCAAAAATTAACAATAGAGTATTTTTGAAGTAAATAATGTACATAAAATAAAATTATCAAATAACTTTAAAAAAATGTTTGAATATTTTAATTCGGTATTTATGATAAGTTTTGTATTTATGTCCACTATTATTTTACTTTTACAAGCAATAATTTACTCAAAAACTATAACATACTTCCCTGAGTATCGTGTAACATTTGAACGTTTAACAAACATGTCTTATCTATGTACTTAAATTCTATGTGCAAAATACATATATATATAATATATACAAATTTTTATTTACATAACCCAAAAATGCATGCAATTCACACCAAAACAGTCAATTAGTATAAATAAAATAATAAACTTAGGAACATAATTTAGTCATGTCTTTTCAATAATTAGTTTGAGATTAATATCGTTGTGACATTCGTTTTGTTATCCTCGGCATTGTAATACATTATTTTGGTTAATATTAGATGTATATTGTACACCGATCCCAAAGGAGGAAGAGAGAAAAAAAAATTACAAATTCGACCGATTCGGGTTCGGTCGACCGGGTTATAAACGTCTCTGTTTTGGTTAGTGGAAAAAAAAAAAAAATAAAAAAAACACTCTTCTAAGGCGTCGCCGCGACTATTCGATCACCTACGGTATCACACAATCATCGTGTAAACAGCTATCTATAGACACCACAGACGGTGTGTGCAAAACTAAATACAAATCAGTGACGACGACACCACGGAATGATATTCTAATAGTAAAACGTATTATTTAACTAGAACAATATAAATACGGTGCGCATTATAATAATATTATTACGGTCGGAGTGATGTGCACTATATATAATATTCGAACAACGATAATATAATATTAATATTATAGTCGTCCGTGCGTGCGAGTGTGTGTGTGTGTATATGTGTGTGGGTGTGCGCCAAGTCGAGCGGATCTACCAAATATCCGTCCTGTCCGTAAAATGATGATTACCTTGAGCGGTGGTGGTCTCGCTGCGGGCCTTTTGAAGCGCCATCAGCATGTTCGGCGACTTGGCGAGCATCCGGGGACTGGTGGCGTTTGCCTGTCTGTAGCTGTCGCTGCGCTTCACCACGGACTTGATCTCGTCCAGGCTCGTCTCCAGGCACTCGGTGGGGTCTTGCATCCGGACGTACGCGCCTCGCACCACCTCTTTGGGCGACAGACTCCGCCGGGTCGGCGATATCAGCGGCGACACGGGCTTGCCCGCGGCGTCGCCGGCACACCGACCGTTGTCCGGAAGCACGACCACCCGGTGCCGGTTTAGAGCCGTAGCCACCGTCAGCGGTAGGCCTGCGATCGTCTTGCCCGAGCGCCGTTGGCCCGGCGAACAGGGCAGCGGTATGGGCACCAGAGGTTTTAGCTGGACAGCGGCGCTATTGCGTTCGCCTTGGAGTTTCTTGGCGACCACCTGCGCCGCTTGCGGGCCGGAGCCGTTCGGTTGTCTGGTCACAGGTCGGACGTTCAACGGAGAACGGGGTATTGCCTGAAACGAATCGATCAATGAAAAACCGTTATCGGGTATGTGGTTACAGTAGTGATCGGCCTCCCTCTCTAATGGGGTAGCAACAAAATAGGCAGTCGCTTAGGGCGACGGCACTAGTTTAGGGGTGGCAAATTTCGAAAGTTAATATTTAATAGAACCCTTACACTCCAAAAAATTAACTTTTGAATAGGGCAGCGAAATTTAAAATTGTCCGGGGCGGCGAAAAACCTAAGTCCGGCCCTGATAGTGATGCATTATGCGGTCCGAGTCGTATATCGACTGCACTCGTCAGTTTTCGATGAGTATTATTGACTATTGTGCGTGATCACGTTGACGTGACTGCAGATCGGATGTATGACTTGCTTTTTTTTAGAGGTCGTTGATAGAGACAAAACGCCTGTTGGGACGACCGCGTTTTGAAAGGCATCTCGCGAGATTTTTCGGAATATTATACTTAAACGATCGTTCGAGACAAAAAAAAAAAAAAACCATGTATGTATTTTTAGCGAATTATTTCAAAACGTACTGAACCGATAGACTATAATAGGTACTTTCGACAAAATTGTCTTTCTTTCTTTTTTATGACGATATGAATATTTTATCTCTGAAATCGAACTAGTAACAGAACGTGGTCTGTGACCGATTAACATATTCATCGATTTCGCATGTGCGAACGAACAATAGTAAGTATAAATAGACACCACAGGACATACCGAGCGTTAAAGTTTTAATCGTGATTAAGGTTTCGTCAAAGTCACCGGCTAGACTTCCCTTCAACGGATATACCCGTTATCTGTAGGTTGTATTTTATCAGTAGAAAACCTAAAAACTACAGTCGTGTATACGGTAGGTTAAGAGGACCGACGATATTTTGTGAATTTATGATAAAAAATTATTAAGTTCTCGAAACGAGTTCCGCCCGAAATGACGTGCGCTGAACTACATTCCGTCTAAATTAATAATAATAATAATAATAATAATAATAATTTATTATTAATTATGCACTGTCTAAATAACAAGCCGCATGTGCCATCCGCGTGACATGTAATATTATGTTATTATTATTTTAATAATTGCGCGCGGACGACACGCCGGAAATGTTGAGAGTATAATATATACGTACTTGTGACAAAACGCTATTATTGGTGTGGTTGTTGACGGGCAGCGACCGGACGTTGGCGTTCACGCACGGACCGGGTTCGAACGTGTTGACCGTGTGCGTCTTCTTCCGGCGCTTCAAACTGTCCGACGAGTATATGACTCGGCCCTCGGCGTTCAGCGTGACCCGAGCGCCCGCCGGCCTTTGCCGTTCCGACGTGCCGACGGCCGGCAACTCGTCCAGGTGCACGAACCCTTTGCACAACGCCTGTTCCGGGTGCTCGACGACGGCCTTGACCACCGGTTCGGGTATCGCGTAGTGCGCCAGCGTCACGTACTCGCCGTAATCGTCGGCGTCCGGTACGATCGCTCTCACCGCGGTCGTCTTCAGGCTCACCTCGTCGTCGCTCATCGGCGGCGTGATGACGCACATGGACGGTATGCGGCTGGTGTTGATGGTGGTCTTGACCCGGAGCCTCTCCACTCGGTCGACGCCTTCCAGGTCGGAACACTCGGACATCTCCAGGTCGACGGACGGGTTCGTCACCGAGTCCACCGGCGAGCTGCACGTGTTGTGCCCGCTGTCCGGCGAGTCACCGCCGCCGTGTTCCAGGCACGGTCTGGGCTTGACGTCGATCATCAGCCCCTCCTCCTTGTACCTGGTCACGTTCTCCTTGGTCAGCCGGGACGGGGCCGTTTTCGACTTGTCGTACAGCGCCATCGGGTCCCTGGACCCGTGCGCGTTGTTCCGGTCGGGCAGCGAGCCGCCGTACGCGATGTCCGCCGACCGTTCCGATAGCTTGCTGCCACCTCTTTCCGGCACGTTCGGCGGCGACACCATCAGGGACGTGCACACGGTACCGGCCGAACTCGCTGTGGTCGACGTACTGCCCCGTCCGAAAACGTCGTACTCGCTCTCGGCCGACGACGACTGGAAACTTGGCGTGAGCGCCGACGTGGAGTGCAACGCGGACATCGGCTGCGGCGGGTCCTCCTCCCTGAGCGTCTTCAGACCGCTGTCCACGTGGAACGAAGTGTAGTAGCCTTCGGTGTCGCACGAATACGTGGAACCTGTTTCCCCTTCGTCGCTGGTCACCGAACTTCCCCCGTGGTACGTCGGTTTCGTGCTTCCGCTGCAACTGCTAACGCTAGACCTGAAAACGCGCATACGGTCGTATTATAACATGATCGGTGTACCACAGTAATAATAAATAATAGACTTTATGATATTGATACATAATTTTTTACATCGATTATCGTATTGCATTGTTGTTGTTATTATTATCAATCACCGTCTAAATACTTAAAACCGCTCATCGTATTTTTATAATCGTACTATACGCCTATAACAATAGCTAGTAGTTGTTATTTATTTATATTTTAATTTATGGTATTTTTAATCGTATTTACGTTGATCATTGTTCGTCCTCTCATTCTAGTTCCATGATGATATCATTATAAATATTCTTTAACATTCACATGTAGAATCATCAGTACACTTGATTGAAATTTTAAATTTATTTAATACTTTTCCGATTTGTTATTTTTTTTACATTTGCAAGTACCTACCTACATTTGAATAATATTTATTGATTTCATAAGTAAATTTTTTGAATTAATAAACAATATTAATTTTAAGTAGATATTATTTTATGTCTTAACAATAATTCTAATTGATTTTATAAAATAAGTTTAAAAATGGATATGTAATATGTATTTTATAAAATAATATTAAAATAGTAGGTAATAGATCAATAAAATTTCTCGTTTCATTATTTCTATTGGTCTTTTCATAAACTTTTTTAACGAATCTAAATCAGTTTAGAGTAGCTATTCTCAATCTGGGACGTACGATCCTTTTAGTGGGAACCAACTAATTTTTTGATTAACCATCCATCAGTCCTATCAGTCCCTATACATTTACTTGTTGTACGTATACAATAACATTTTTTCGGCGTTGTAAAATATTTTAGTATCTCATTTGGTGCTGGTCACTTTAAAAATATTAAGAAACATTGGCTTAGCTAATATGTAAACTTATTTGATCTATATACTTTATAAACGTAGATTATTATCTTATTATATTTTGTATTATTTTTTATAGTATATAAAAAAGGTTCATTAAAATACATCAACAATAAGTTTTAAAAATTCTTGTTAATTATCAATGATAATTTTTTCATTATTAAATATGATACCGCTATAAATTATTAACATTTAAAATAAATATATTAAAATATTTTCTCTTCACATAAATCATTTTTTATTTTTTTGAATTCGAAATGTATGAACAATATAATAAGAGTGTCTTATCTCTAGTCGATGTTTAGTAAGTATAAATTAAACATACTGACATTTAAAAATTTAATGGTTTTATGTGAACGCCGTGTCTGGTTATGAAGGATTATTTGTATACTAATCAGATATAATATAGTGATTTTAGTATTATTTAAAACATATACGCCTTTGTTTGCATTTCTTTTAAATGTTATCTTAACATTTAAAATAAAATTGAATACTTAAAAAAAAACATAATATTTATTTAATTTACGTACCTATGTATAATATGTATAGTTAAGATTGAAACTTAACCCTGTAAGGATTTTAAAAACTTGTTTTTTTAATTATTTACAGTATCATTGTAATTTTTATAGCATACATTATTTAAAGAGTTTATTTGTTAATTGTTTTTAAATAAATTAGTATTTATGACTTCTAATTTATGTAATTCCAATATTATTTAATGAAATTATGTTTTGAATTCATTGGTCATACCTTGGTATGTGACTAGTCGAAGTAGACTGTCCACTCTCTGAACTTGCTGACCAATTACCAGACGAAGAATGCACTGGTTCGTCCTTATCCCATTTTCTTCTTGCCAATCCAACTCTTCCTTTTTCTCTAAGCTTGACTGATGCTGACGAAGCCGTTTCTATATTTTTAAATTGTTTCAATCTCATTCTTCCCCAATCTTTCAAGATATCAAGATTTGACTTTTTCTCAGTCACCACAACGGTCGTACTGCTGGACACGACGTCATCAGAGTCTTTATTACTATCAGACAATGAGCTAAAAATAAAAGAAACATGTTATTTTGATGTTAAATAATTAGATTAAACTCAGTTTTAGTACCCAATAACGGCTTCTAATTCTTTTTGATCGGTTCCAGCAATCGTATTCCTCCTCTTGCCTCTAGGTCTTTTGCTCTTTCGTCGTCTAACAGACGTTTCGTATTCAACGTTCTGTAGAGATCTCCTAAGCGCGCTCATTCGGTTAAAACTCCTGCCGGATACGTCAACTTCGACTATTTGCGGCGGGAATCTAAAACAAATAAGTTTGTGTGATAAAATAAAGATTAATTCAAACATAAAATGTCTACGAGAGTTTAGATGTTTGGAGTATTCCAATTGTGTATCATCGGATTATAAAATATTATCACTCACTTAAGTGCGATGACCTGCTGCTGTTCTTCGGGCGATGGCAGTTTGTGGTCGATTTGATCTTCTGAAACAGGACTTGGATCTCTAGGTATCCTCGATGAACAATCAGGAGCCACGGTTATATCTCCAAGAACTTCTTCCGATGTCCATGGTCGGAGATTGGTGATTGCCGCAGGCTATAATGTATAGTTAAAATTAAATTAATTTCAATAATAATACGGACGTATTTTCTATAATTTATAATTAATAGCAAGTATAATACAATGTATATGTATACATATAAGTGGACACTTTTTATTGTAGCATTACAATATATTATCATGTATGGATGCGCACCACTGTTTATACATTTTCTTAAATACTTTTATATACGTTCATAATTTATTATTATAAACATTTCAAATAATTAATGTTGTTTATATAGAATAATAAAATATCAAAGAATCTTATGTACGAGTAGGTACTTAAAGTATATCTAACGGCATACTCATGGTTGATGTCTGAAGCGAATGAATAAATTGTTTTGTACATCTAACAACACAAATGCAACCTTGACCGGTACAATTGAGAATAGTCTATAACGTTTGTCTTCTAATGAAACACTGTATGAGTATTCAGATGATTCAAGGGCAGGTTTGAATAAAATAAAACTTTCTCGCTATAATATGAGAATTTTATTTTCAAAATGAAATGCCTACCTATTTATTTTTTTTTTATTTTACTCGTATTAGTTTCAACCAGTTAAAAAAAAAAAAACAATAAGTTTAATAAAGGTAACAGAGAAATTAGGACAATTATTTGCTTATACATCCTTTTTTTAACGTCTATTTATTCAACTCAATTAATACAATGGAATACATCATAATATACTTGAATCACCTGCTGGTAAAAAAATCAATAAGTAGTATTAGTATTTATTTACTATTGTTTGTAACTTCAGTGTACGATATAAAATATAAAATAATATATATTGTATACTTAAGTATTTTTTTATTTTTTTTTTGTAAAATTATTCATTTTTAATTATTGCTTATTTTTAATGGATGTGATTGTTTAGTTTTTAAAATATAAATGAACAAACATTAAAATTCTCTAAATTTAGTTCAATATATATATATTTATTTATCGGATTTTTTTTTATGAGAGAAAAAAAATTGTATAAAAAAACAATAGATAAACTAAATTGTTATTCTTAAAACATATGATGTTTAATTTTTTGAGTCGATAAGGTTATTGCAACCACCCATGCTTAACACACCTGTTGCATCCGGTTTTAATTCATCTTTCCTCTTATTAAAGTTTATATTTTTTTTTTTTCGTACTGTTAGCGTGTAACAAAGCCGTTTGCGTCATAAAACACATTTTATATCTGTCGAATAATTAAATTCACACACAGGCTTTAGTTATTTCAACAGTTCAGACCCTTTATTGCTGTATAGTATATACTGTATATACATATATAGTATTATATTATGTATATATATATATATATATATATTGTACATTGTAAATACGTGATCTGGTAGAATTTAAGAAAATCGTCATTTTATTTGTTTATATGAACGCTTAAAATATTAATAACTGTGCCGAAAACTTGTATAGGATGTTGGTATAACGGTCGTACTCCGTGATATGAATTTTGATCTTATCATTAATACAGAAACGGCCATTACCAACGTACAAGTATTTGTAGATACCTATGCGTGTTTGAAAGTTACTAATGCGTATAATATAAAATTATTTTATTGCGGTTAAATCGAACTGAGATAAAACGTTTAATGTCGTTAGATGGTTTTGTATAATAAAAACGTTATTGTATAAATGGATATCGGCGTTATTATTATTATTTTTTTGAATACTTATAATTTATATTATACCTGAATATCATACAGATGTACAGTTTTAGATTACGTTCAATTATTATTGTAACTAATTTTATTATAATACTTATAAAATTAAAGTAAAACAAAAAAACACCAGAGTTATTATACTAGCATAAAAATAATAAGAATAATATTAAATAACGGACCTTTCTAAGTTCTATATCGTCAGGCAAAAGAATGTCGTCCAGTGATCGCTTCCTTCTCGATAATCTATGGACGTGAGGTTTATTTTCATATACTTTACTCGGTACTCCGGCTTGATCGTAGAGCCTTTTAACCCAAATAGGTCTATTTTCCGCTAACAATAAGTTCTTGCTCTCTACTTGCTTACTCTTAAAATGTTCTGTTTTCAGACTGAACGCTGTCAGGTCACTTTCAGCTGCAAAAAAAAAAAAAAAAATAAAAATAAAAATATAATATTATAATACCAGAAACATTAGACACATCGTCGTACAACGATGTACTATAGAATTACCACAATCATCACATTACACATATGACCCTTCCTATATAATTTAATATTTGAGATAACAATACGTTTCTTTACCAAGGTCGGTGTTTATATGTAATATACTAAAATGCTCTCACGAGCAAATCGATTCATGAAATGCAAATTTAAATCTAGCTAAAATTATTATGATTACTGCATTAGTACAATGGTCCTGTTTCACCCGCGGTGTATATCATTTGAAATCTCGTTCCGTTGTGAAACACGCGTATATCACTTGTAATAGTATTCAGAAATTTTTTTTTTTCTTGTAACAGTGCGTTCGATTTATCGTGATCACCAAACGCCCATCTGTTTAGAGAAAATATTTCTATTTTCTATTATTTACATCAATGCTCACAAGTTGTACATATGGCGCTATACCAGTGAAAGTCTAAGGCTATACACGATGTTTATGAACGTAATTAGTTTTGCATCATAAATAGGCACTATAGGTACTGTACTAGGCATAGATACGAGCAGAGACCTATTTCTGAAATATCGCACTATTGACAATATACATTTTTTTTTAACGTTGTAAGTTTAGTTAATATTGTGATTTTTTGGTATGAACGTAATTTAATGTTTTAATGATAAATAATTGAAAATCAAAATACTTTAAATAATATCTGTTTAATATAATATTTACACATATAGGTATTAGGTATACATATATTTTTTCGTTATAAAATATAAAAATATAATATTTTTACTGTACCTACTCATGTTATTGTTATAATATTAAATATCGTTCATATTTTGTTAATATTATGTAATTATAATTAAAATAAATATACATTCATATTTATTTTTTAAATATGTGCTATAAATATTACAATTTAGTGCGTTAAATAATTATCACTTAATTGGAATGAGTTATTTGTTAATGCTCTATTAAATAAAAATATATAACTAGAACATATTTATTTTAAACTCAATAGTTATTACCAATGATGGTAAAAATAATCAATTTTAAAAATTATTGTTTTTAGATAGAAAATAAAGTTATTTTAACTATACTAATAAATAATAATTAATGGTTTTTTCGAGGTCATAATTTATTTAGGTTTCATTTCTCATCGTTTTAATTTAAGGCATACGAATTCTCCTTAATGTTAAATGCGTTATATTAAGATTATTTTATCATTATTAATTATATTATGTTCTTTAATAGTATTTAAGTTTAAATATGATAAAAGTGTAATCAAATAACCGATTAATAGTAAAAATTTTAGTTTAAGCTATAACAATATGAATAATATTTTAACTATATTTTCTTTTTAAGCAATATTTATGTTTTATTTTATACATTCATAATTTTCGATTTAAATAACAATACATAGTTAAAAAGTCAATTTGCATATTATGCTTTGAGAGAGGCTTTTATCATTAACATCATCTACCTTGTAAAATAAATAATTGCATGGCCATGTACCACACACTTATACATAAATAAAAATAATCGTTTATGTATTATATATAAGTCGACGATTTTGGTGTCTATAAAACTAGTTTAAAAATACAACTTGCGAAGACGTGTTAATTATAAATTATACAATAATTTCAGGTTTTTATGCAATGCATGAGTAAGTGGCTAATCATGTGCAAATAAAAATACAAGAACAATAATTATTATGTCAAAACTTTTTTAATAAATTTAAAAAAAATACTGATTCGATATAATATAATTATAAAAATAATTTAAATGAACTGTATAATGCTACGAATTGTATATATGTATTTTTAAAAAAAAAAAAAAACAAAAAAAAAATGAATCCTGAAAGTGACAAGCAAAAACTGATTGAAATCAAAACAATAAATAGGAACAAAACAATTATTTTTTATTACTTGTCTCATGTCTGGACCAAATACAATAAAAAATATTTATGTAGCTTAACACAGTTTTGTTAGTTAGCCATTTAACATATAATTCATATTTCATAAAGTCGTTTCAAGTAATATTTTTTTAAAGGTACCTATGTTAAGTATCAAATTTGAAACTTCATAATATAAATGCAAAGGTGTTACACACGATTATCGCGATTGTTAAAACATTCTATTCATCATACTATTACATTATACGACGAGGCAGATAATATGACACTTGGATATATATCGTACGTTATATTTACGTTATCTTCGGCAACTTATCTAAATGGGAAACCTCGTTAATGACATGTCCGATTTCATAGGCTATTTTTGGGATTCAAAGAGGTGTACGTATTATATCTTACGGAAACCATAATATAAATATGCACATTTAATGTTCATATAATATTTTGAAGTCTTAAAAGCAATCTAGATTGGTTTCTTAAACATGCCATTGCTCATAATATTGTTAATTCCTTTTGTAAGCTTAAGCGCACATTTACTCAAACTATTATGATTTTTTTTTGGAAATTTTACATTCATTTATGATTATATTTTCAAATATTTTATGTTTTTTGTTTTATAAGTAGTGGTAAAAATTTTTTTCTCAAAAGCAGCAAAATTTTATTTTTGAAAATTATAAAGCAGATGATTTATTCGAAAACGTTGATGTATTGAATTATAATTCGAACGATCAATTACTATACGGTATTAACGATCTACTGAACATTTGTATTCATCAAATAAAGACGCGATACGAAAAAAAATTAACTTGACAATAAGTATCGATCTAACATATTATAATACGTATACCTATTTTATCATTTGCAAAACATGTTACGATACGGCCAGTGTCATCGTTACTCGACAAATTGCAGCATGTGTTCGACACAATCATCTGAGTATTTTTATTTGTCGTTGACCGAAAAACTCAATTAATTATTATCCAGACCGGGCTAACGCGTGCTCATGTCGCATCCACTCTTGCCCGCGGGCCGAGCGTCTTCGCCGCCGCCGCCTCTGCATCTCATCATCTTTTCACGTGACCGTCGCCGCCGCGCCGTTAACGTCGTGTATAGGTGTAGATAATAGGTATATATACATCTCGTAAAATATTATACTCGACACTATAATACGACTAGGGGGTACCTATATATAATGATAATATTATATACTATTACACCATAATACAGTACTGTAGCTATTACTACTGTAACTACAATATTATATTATATACTATACGGCGCGGGTTCGGTGAACTCCTCACCGCGCCGGCCGTCGTCGCCTGCAACTACGGCGCACGCACAGTGGACGTTCTCGTATGTGTGTGTCTATAAAAGGCATGGATCGCGTACACGTCTTACGCGTTATGTACTGCAGTGGAGTCGCGAGGACTGAACGGGACCGGTCCGTCTCGGGCCGACCGGTAAGTGTGGTTGTAGATATTCTACATAGGTACACATAGCTAGTGCACACGACATGATCACAAACGCGACGGTTGACGAGAAAGACCAGAGATAGAGACAAACCACTCTCGCGGGTACGGAGAGAGACAACCTCTCACGGCGGCAGGAGAAACGTATAGAGATGGAGCGAGAAAGAGAAAGATTGATAAAGAGGGGAGGGAGGGGAAGAGAAAGGGAGATAGATACATAGAGAGAGAGAGAGAGAGAGAGAGAGAGAGAGCGGGAGAGACGTTGTCTCGGTGGAAAGAAACGGCGTCTGTGTGTAAACGGACGTGATGCGATTTCGAAAAATATAATGTCTACGTCTTCTCTCCGCATAATATACTTAATCGTAATCCTTTTGTCGCGCAGGCACCCGAATACCGTGGGAAAACGATCCGACGATTTCGACACACCGTGGCGATTATTAACGGGGTCTAAGTAGCTATAGGTTACTCTTCTGTACGAATAATGTTTATACCTACACATTCCACAATACCCGGGGTATGTACGTAAAGTATAGCCGCAAAGTTGCGGGCTTAATACTATCATGATTTATTTTGTTTTCTGTGTTTCGTTACTGGTTTTTGTTTCTCCGGCGTATCCCCTATACAAACAATAAATCCGGCACGACGAGTAGTTGCCGATACACGCGAATCGCGAAACCGAACACGTGCGCGTCACGAGATGACGGCTCGAGGTCGGGCCGCTTTTGGCAACGTACGCGAGTCAAGAACTATTTTTACTGCTTCAATCGACTGGCCTCGCGCAAATCAAATGCGCGAAATGTAAGTCAAAAGATGTGAAAACATTATTATTTTTAGACGATACGTAAAACCTCGTGATCAGCACAGCGCGCGATCGCTGTCGTTGACAGCGGATTAGTGGGCCGAAAGTTGAATAACGCGTGTGGATAGAAATTGCAGAAATAATGTAAATGCGCTGACCTAGTTTTTTTTTTTTTTTTTTGCAGTAACACACTAATACATCTTATTAAAAATTATTTCAAGAAATTTTCATATATCGATAGGAAACGGGAACACGAATTGTAACTAATTGCATGATTAATTATTTAGGTAGGTAGGTATAATGGTACATTTTTGATTTGGAAAAAACCGCGACCATTTAATCTAATCATGTACTATTTTAAACGAACGCGTTCATGGACATTGGAAACAAATATTGTTCTTCATCAGTAAATACGAGTAGGTACTTATCATATACCCATATAATATAACATTTATATCATTTATCTATGATCAGAAAGATTATTTGAACAAAAATTTGTTGCAATAAAAATCGACTTGATGTCGTAAAAATATAACTGAAACTTATCAATTTTAACCTTATTGCTATCGCTTGACATTAATCAATATCGTTCAACCATAATTATAGGTACCTATAACAAACAATATAGTGGGTTGTATGCGTGAATATTTTATGTGCATAATAAGCTAATGAAATGTAGGTAGGTAATTAGTACAATACACTTGTAAGAAGTTATAGTCGTAGTAAATTATTCAAATTACTTAAAAATATCTTTTTTTTGTGATTCGGTATGCTCGAGTATATAAATAA